GATTTCTCCTTTGTTTTGATTCTTTCCTCCTCATCCATTACTTTTATCCTCTCGTGTTTAGGATACAGTAAGTGAGCAAGAAAAGTGTAATGAATCTAGTGACTTTTGAAAGACCTTGCTGTGTTGTAGAGAAGATTGCTTTCCTCACATATTGCAAGGTTCAGGGCTGAGAGCCCTGTTTAAAAATTCATATTAGCAAGAGAAAAGCATATAAATTTATTGAATCTAATAAAACTTTAAAATGACTTGGGAGGCTTCAGAAAATGAAGAACCAAAGATCAAGAGATAGGTACATATTTTTATGGACAATACTGAGGAAGTACAATTGGTGAACAAAAGGACATGATCTACAAGGCCTGTTGGTTCTGATAATACTCGGTTTTCCTGTGTGCTGTTTTTTTCCCTTTGGATTTAGAGCAGGACACCTGTCACATGAGTCCACAGGGAGAAGGGCAAAGAGAGCTTTCTGCTTTTGCTGTTTTGTCAAATGTCAAAGTGCCCTATTTGGGGGTTGCATTTCCTGAATCCCACCACTGTCAATAAATTATATATTCTCTTGAATCTTTAATGTCTCCCTCCCCTCTTGTCTTTCTCCTTTTACATAGAAATATGCCCATATCTATCACATTAAAACCCAAGAGAAACCTCAGGTCCTCATTCTCCATTCCCTTCTAGTTCCCACACTGTTTCTTCCATTTTCCCAGCAAAGGTAGATTTATTTATGATACTGTAATCCCTTCCACTCTTTGGAAATATTTTTCCCCTCTGGCTTCTGACATCTCATGGTTTAGGGATTCTCCTCTCTGGTCACTACTCAGATTCCTCTGCTTGTTCCTTAAATGTTATTTTTGAGATTTTTAACTTCTGTTTATTTTTCTTCCTTCATTTACTCTCTTTTGGAAGTTGTACTTTGATTTTTACATGCTCTTTATATATGTTGTAACCACCAAATTCTTAAATTCTATGGAGAATTCTTTTCTAGAACTGTAAACCTTTGTATATTCAACTATTACATGTCTATTCTGTTCTCTTAAAAAAAAAAAAAAAAAAAAAAAACACCTTTAATTAAATCCCAAAACAGAAACTCATGGGTTGGGGCTGTAGCTCAGTCAGTGGCAGAGTGCTTGCTTAAGCATGTGTGGGGTCCTGGGTTCAATCCCCAACACAGCAAGCAAAACTTATCAATGTCCCTCCAAATTGGTCTTCCCCCATACTTTCTATATTAAAATGCCCTATCATAATCTAATTGAGGAACTCCCTGAATCATTTCCCAATTTTTCTTCCCAATCATTTTCTTTTTTTTAATATTTATTTTTTAGTTGTAGAGGGACACAATACATTTATTTTATTTATTTTTTATTTTTATATGGTGCTGAGGATCAAACCCAGGGCCTCACATGTGCTAGGCTAGCACTCTACCGCTGAGCCACAACTCTAGCCCCCCAATCATTTTCTTTATCTAACAGTACAAGAAATCTTGTGATGCATACTTAGGAATTTCTGTTGGATTGTTTATTTCTACTTGTCTTCTTTCTTTCTGGCTTCTCATTTTCTACTGTTCGTCCATTATTTTGAGAAAACCATCTAAATGCTTCAAAAGGTTATTTCAGATTCTTGGTCTGGACCATCTTTCTGGATGAATTTTGCCCTTCCATTCCTGCCTCAATTTCATATCATTTGCCAAGCTTGGACTTCTTGAAGTTGTTAAATAAGCTATGCTTTGTATTCTCTTTGGCTTCACTCTGACTTTGTTCAATTTTGTAATTTTAAATAGCTACTTCTCCAGAAAGCCTTGAAGGAATTAATGATATGCCATTCCAAAATATTCCCAGTTGGTATATTGATTATTTCAGACTGGTCACTTGAGGAGCTAGAACTTCAGAAAGAGCCATTTATCCTGTGTTTCCTACCTGCAGCAAGCCCTGGAGGTTCTTTTGAGAGGGATGCCCTTTACATACCAAGAATGAAAACTAGCTCTGACCACCAGAGACTGGAAATTAGGGCTACAGTGAATATGAATAAATAAATCCTGAAGTAACTCTAATTTTTCACTAGCTTCTATGCCTTCCATATATTTCTTAGTAACATTCCTAGAATTAACTACCTTAATCTCTATATTTATTTGTTCCATCATCCCTTCACAAATTAATCATTCTTTGCCTCAAAAGTATATAAACTCCATGCTTTGGTCATTTTTTTTTTTAGTACTTGAATCTCTTGTGAATATCTCCATGTAGTTATAAAATTAATAAAAAATTATGCTTTTCTCTTTTTAATGCAGGATCCTAGAGCAAGGCAAAGGCTGACATAAGAAAGGCGGGGGCCATATACTGAGCATTTCTTTGTTGCCTATAGCCTCTTCTACCAGCCTCCCCATACCACTATGAATAAGCATTAAGTGACTCCCTCCTGGTAGCTGAACAATGTCAAGAGTGAACAATAAATTCTTCCTGGTGGAGTGCCATGTTCCTTTCTTATTATGTGAAAATTTTGTTTCTCCCATTATTTCCCCAAAATTTTATAGTTCCATCTGGATAAATTTAATAAAATGATTATACATATGTGCTTGATGATTTACCAAGTAAGAAAAAGATTGATAAATATTTGCACATGAGTATTATCTATTTTGTAATTTTCCACTTTTGAAGTAAATGTGACCTTTCCTTATTTCCTGGTCTTTATCACCTTGTAATTCAATGGTGAAAGTAGACTGCTTATATAATATTTTAGGAAAATCAGCTAACACTTTATATCTGTACAATAATTCGTGCTCCTGTAAAGTGTTCTTGACAGCTTGTCAGTGGGGCAGAGAAGACTGGACATGTCCTAAAGTGCTTTGCAGTGCAAAAAAGTTCACCTCAGTGAACATTGGTAGTGACAGTGCCCACAGGTGTCAGGAGAGAGTGCATATTTTAGCTTAGTTGGGCATAAATCAGAATTCAGTCATTAGATATATTCGTCTCTCAGTTTCCCAGCTAAAGGGATGTATAACACTTCTTGCTTTTTGTCAGTGTTGATAGTTTATTTGAGAAGAGATGATTCAGTTTTTCCATATTCCATGACTTACTCAGTAACTGCTTAGAGCAACAAGATAGTCTGATCTGAATTAGAAAATAGTACTAATGTTCTTTGCTCTTCCTATACTCTACTGTATTTTGTTTGTTTGTTTTCAATGTAAAACTGGGGCATAATTGTAATTCTCTAATAGCAATACTAAGAATATTGATTGGTTGTTGCTTATAATGTTGTTCAGATGTATGCACCAGCTCATAAATAGCACAAACTGTACTATCAGGATGACATTATGTGCACCGTTCATTTTAATAGCCCTATAAATTTCTATTTGATTTTGTTTCTTGATATTCATTTACCTTTCTTCTATCCTATTCATAAAGCATGGTTCAATAAATGTTATCCTTTATTTTTGTTTGTGCTAAAGTGTTCCTAGTGCTAATTTATTTACTAAGTTTGTTTTACACATAAATCATGCCTCCGTATTTTACTCTCTGGCACTTCATCCATTTTTATGACTGACTTTCTAGTTTCCCTTCTTCCTCTTTAGTTTGTCAGCTTATTATTCTTTTATATGTTCTCTTAAACCTCATTTAAATCCCTTTCCCATGTTATATTTTTATTTCACATTTATTGTTTATTATATTACATATGAGTTTAGCTGAAAAAAAAATTGGTGACCATGATGTACTACTGGAACTCTTCTGTGTTATCTAAGGAAGAAAAGACATCTAAAGCTAAGTTTCCATGATTTAGATCGTACGTACGTAGAGTAAAGCTCATATTCAAAGTAAACATCTCATCATTTTATCAGATTACTTATGTTTCCGTATAATTGCCTGGAGAGAAAAGAACATAAATTATTTATTTATTTACTTATTTATTTATTATTTATTTATTTTACTGCTGAGCTACGTCTCCAGCCCTTCTGTTTTTATTGCTTTTGAGACATAGTTGCACTAAGGTGTCCAGCTAGCCTTGAACTTGTGATCCTTCCGCCTCAACTTCCTGGGTAGATGTGATTTCAGGCCACTGTGACTGTGAGGATGAATAAATGAAATAGATGAGGAAATTGAAAATTAAATTATATTGACATGAATCAGAAAAATTGTGTGGTATTTGGTACTGTTTCGAATGCCAGAAATAACTGAGATAGAAGATGTATTTAGGTTTTCCTAAAATGCCCTGAAACCATAGCTTATACTTTAAGATTTTCTTTGCATTGATCTAAAGAAAGGACTTGAACTTAAATCTTTGGATCATAATTTTAATGATCAAGACCATTGCTTTAAAATTTAAACTTTGATCCAGAATTCATATCTAAGTGTCTAGCTAAAGAAATAAAGTGCATTTAAAATTGTCCACTAAAATATTGCAGTATGATTTGTAGTGGTTAAAAACAGATGATTTTTTTTTTAAAGAATGGTAGTATAGAATGTGGAGATAATGGAATATTAAGTAGTCATTAAAAAGGATATGTTTATAGAATATTTGTGTCAGCATATGTTTGTATTTATCATATGGTATAAATGAAATAACTAAATAAAAGAATTAGAGCAAATATCTGAATGGTAGGATTATTCTTCCATTTTTCAAATAGTCTGCATTTATTGTACTCTCACTATTATATTCAGAGGACTTGTATGCAAAAATACAGCATTTGTAATTTAGAATGTTCTACTTAGTAATATATTTATTACATTTTAAGAAAAATAAGCAAATGTTTGCCTTCGTATCATAGAAGACATCCATGTAATTTTTTCTCTTTTGGATTTGTGGATGTTTTAGCATCCTAAACATTTGTATCTAAAGGTTGACTGCTTTGAAATTGGAAGGTGGAATGGGAGGGTGGACATGTGGGAGCTAGGAGGAAGAAGAAAGATCTAAGGACAATTTATGAATTATCTGAAGCATGGATATAAAATGTCACCATGTGACCTTTATTTGTCAAAGATGTGATAGAATATTTTTCTTTCTGATTTCTACAGTATCAAGTCATGGGTTGATAAGATGCAGGAAGACCTTGTCACACTGGCAAAAACAGCAAGTGGAGTCAATCAGCTTGTTGATGTGAGTAAAATCCATCAAAGGAACTTGATAATTTGAATGTCCTTCTGTTTTGTAAGAAAGTGTGTATCTATGTTATAGATAGAATGTGATTTTTCCTGTGGATGTAGAAGTGACATTCTGAGAGAAACCCTTGCTACTGCTAGTTATTGTGAACAAGAGTACCACCCCTAGCAGTTAATGAAACTCACCATGCTTTACAGTTTATACTACTTTACAGTTTACACCAGCTCTCAGATGAGTCCCTGATCTGTGTATGTCCCAGTATTCACAGTTGGGTGCCATGTGCATGTTACCACAGTGTTTCCATTCCTCAGAATATATTTCTTAGGTAGTGATGACTTCCAAGTCTATAATGGTTCTTTTTAATATCCTCAATGGAAACTCATCTTTGTTCTTTGAGGATAGATTTTATTTAAAAAAAAATTTGAAAAGTATTTATAACAATGTCCAGAGATTGGAATGATCAATTGAGATTGCTAATAAAGATTTTGGTGCAAGAAATGGAAATACAATAAAAGATGATTTTTTTCTTATGATTTCTAAATTGGTTGTGAAAGTTACTTTAAATTTTTTTTGAAAAGGACATTAATATGTGATATAAATATTTTATAGAATCTTAGATTATTTTTCATGGGTTAGAGCATTTATATATATATTCTGTAAGATTAATCAAAGTTAAATGTCATTTGTATGGGGTCTCACAACTTCAATTTCAGTGTAAGTCATGTAATAACTTTTTGTTACATGTACTCTCACCTTGTGTTCTTAGTGATACAAGGACCCTGTTTATATTTTAATATGTGGTGGGTTGATTAAGTGAAATGGTATATGTTTTGACTGTGACCTAGCTCATGGTGTCAAGTGTGGAATTTTATATTTGTAGCATTATTGGGTAATCAGAAAGTTTCCAATTTTGGAGCATTTTGGATTTCACGTTTTTAGATTAGGAACATTCACCTTGCATGTGAATATTCCTCTCTGAGAGAAATGGAAACATATTGATAAGTTAAGTATAAGACTTTAAAATTTCTTCTGAACCTCTTTATGAAACAATTATAGAATTAAAAACAGAAGAGTTTTTTTTATTTGTTCCAATTAGTTATACGTGATAACAGAATGAATTTTGATTCATTGTACACAAATGGAGCACAACTTTTCATTTCTCTGGTTGTACTTGATGTAGAGTCCCACTATATGTGCGGTCATACATGTACCTAGGGTAATGATGTTCATGTCATTCCACCATCTTTCCTACCTCCATACCTCCACCCCTTTCTTCCCTCCCTTTTGCCCAAAGTTCCTCCATTCTCCCCACGCCCGCCCACCCTTTATGGGTTAGCATCCACTTATCAGAGAGAATATTTGACCTTTGTTTTTTTTTTGGGGGGGAGGGTTGGCTTACTTTGCTTAGCATGATATTCTTCAACTCCATCCATTTATTGCAAATGCCATAATTTTATTCTACAAGAGAGTTTTGAGTAAAACTAATATTAGGTTGAGCATATTTAGACTTGGGTCTCATTCCCGAGACATCTCGTGTGTGTGTGTGTGTGTGTGTGTGTGTGTGTGTATATATATATATATATATATATATATATATATATAATGTAAGCAAATGGTTCAGAAGAGATTTGAAATCTGAAGAATTTCTGGTCCCAAATCTTTTACATAAGGGTACTAAATCTGTATCTGTGAGATAAGGAATACATTTGGAAATGAAGGGTATTTCTTATGAACACCAGTGATGAGATTTAATTCTAATCCATCCTCATTGAGCACATAATGTGTTCCAGGCACTGTGCAGGCTACCAAGAGTAGACAAACAGTTTCTTTTCTCAGAGAACTGACACAGCTCATCAAAAATCCCCAGTGCTTGGGGTGAAAAGATGCCTGAAAGCTATTGTAAATTGACAGTAGGAATCTGTAGTGATTCCCTGGGGAAGATATGTTACACTGAGAAAGTGTGCAGCATATAAGTGAGACTGAGCAACGGTATTTGTGGATGTTCCAGCAAATATTATTTATTAATTTTCATTTAAATACTGTTTAAATTGACTAAGGGCTTTCATTCAACCACAAGGAGAAAAAAAATGACAAATGACAGATTCTGGTTTTAAGTTACATGATACTTTTTATTGACAGATTGAGATTAAAAATAAGCTCTTGGAAACCTTTTCAGTGCCTCTCTAGCCTCAAAAACCACTTGCTTGGCTGACCTCGTTATTTTATTTCATGTTATGATATGAATCTTCTATTGCCAAATCTGTGTTTTGCAATAAAACATTAAGTAAAAAAAATTTCACCGAGTTTCCATTTGGTCTTAGGAAGTATAGATGGCTTAGAAGACTGTAAAATTGTATGAATTAATGACTTTGACTGAATTAGGATAAAAAAGTAGATGGAAAAGATGAAAATCCCCATAATTTTTTGTTTATGAGGAACGTACCTCAATATAGTGACAGATGTATTATGTGTAAGAGAATGACATGTTAGGGAAGCTCTCTCTCTCTTCCTCTCTCTCTCTCTCTCTCTCTCTGTGTGTGTGTGTGTGTGTGTGTGTGTCTGCATTGGAGACTGAGCAGAATTCGCTACAGGAAAAATAATTCAGGTATTAGGGCACATGGAGAACATCCTCTTACAGGATAAGTGATCCCATTGCTTCCTAACTTTTCCTAGACAGAAGGTCCAGGATTTGGGCAAAAGGAATACATTTTTTTAAGCCATGTAAACTTGAGGCAAAAACCGCTTGAAAAATAACATTGTTGAGAATGAACTTTGAGCTAAGTTTGGGGGCATTGTTGTGGGTTTTTGTTTATTTGTTTTTGAAGTGCTGGAGACCAAACTTGGGTTCTCATGTATGACAGACACTGACACTGAGTGACAGACATCAGAAGTGTTGAATGCATGCTGAGGACCAGAAGTTGAAGGAGGGGAGGAATTAAATAGGTCCCTGGACCGAAGTTAATATTGTAGAAATTTGGTTTCTTCACAAATCAATTAACGTAATTAATTTTACTTGCTTCACAGGTAAAGCCAGTTTTACATGAAGGCCAAGAACCAATGTAATGAGCCACATTGCTAAAATAATACATCCTTGTAGTTTTATGAAAATTGCTTAATGGGGTCATAAAACATCAGTCTAGGGAAAGTTGATTAATGTTATTGAATGCATTCAATACTCTTAACAGATGTGGATTTTACGTAGGTTTCTTGCCTATCTTCTGTTAGAAATCAAGAGTGAGGAGGTTTAAGAAGTATTGCTGACCCTAATACATTAAAGTTTTAAAATATCTCTTATTGAATTATTATTCCATTATGTAATCATTTGGAGCACATATGTCCATCAATTGGTTCTGTCAATTGTTAGCTCTATAATTTGGCCAAGGTAATGTTATGGAGTTGTTGGAATGATGATACAATCCATATAAACTACATATTGACATATAAACATAACTCTGCAAATATCATTCATTTGTTGAATTAGTTAAATGTATCATATTGTACTAGTGGGATACAGGCTGAGTTGATGTGACACAGACAAGATCAGAACACACTTTTCTCCCACATTGCAGTCTAGAGGTGAGCAGAGTATGGTTAGCTGGGAGTCCCTGAGATCCTCTCAGCTTGGGGTTTCCATTTCTAGTTTAAGGTGATCCCTTCAGTTGCTCTTATTTCCCAGCCATCAGGTAAAGGAAGACAGAGTAGGAGAGCAGATACCCAGGCAGTATAAAATGTTTACACACATTGCAGTAATGAGAGCTTAGTCACATGGTCTCACAAACCTAAACAGGTTACAAAGAAGGAAGGTCTTTACAGTAATGTGCCCAATGAAAATTCTACCACAATGGAAGGGGCAGAACAAATAGTGGGGAGATTAAGCAATCATCTTCCATTGATTCGTATTGTTATCTGAATATTACTTTTGTGTGAGTGCTGTATCTAAAATGTATTAGTGCTTTGTTAATATAGAATTGAAGCTTTATTTATAAATTTTAAACATTATAGATCAAGAAAAAATTGAGTGACTGGGGTTGCGGCTCAGTGGCAGAGCGCTTACCTAGCATGTGTAAGGCACTGGGGTTTGATTCTCAGTACCACATATAAATAAGTAAAATAAAAGTCCACCAGTAACTAAAATAATATTTAAAAAAAGAAAAAAAATTGAAGTGTATCTCCAGATTTTGGAAAACGTTTTTAAACAATCTGAGTTATAGGATATTTTGTTATTTCTACACACACACACACACACACACACACAGATCCTTGTAGCTCCCATGCTAGTAAGTGGAGAGGGAGAGGCCAATATCATGTTTATAAATAAATAACATTTTAAATATTAAAGTGTTTGTAATATTCTTGAAAACAATGGTTTTAGTGGTTGGCCATCAACTAGTGTTTAATTTGTTGAGAAAATATATCCCCTTAAAAATATAACCAAATTTTGACCAATATCAAATTCATCAAATATTCTAAACTAGTGGGTACTATATAGTAATGAGAATTTGCTTCAGAAAAAGATTTTCAAACAAAAAGTTGATGAGTAGAAACGATTGTCTTTTTCTGGGCAATGTACTTTTTCTTTTTTTTTTTAAATGTTTTTTTAGTTGTCAATGAGCCTTTATTTTATTTATTGATACGTGGTGCTGAGAATCGAACCCAGTGCCTCACACGTGCTAGGCAAGTGCTCTGCCACTGAGCCACAATCCTAGCCCTGTGCAATGTACTTCTGAATCTAACAGAACTCTGCATATTCGTCAAAATCCTCAGTCACTACATTTGATTGGCCCTGCCCTGGGGACAAGTAACTGCAACAATGTAAGCATACTATAAGGACCTCAGGCCCCTTCAGGACTTCTCTCCTAGCCTTCTCTTTATTACAGAAGGAAGGCTTCCGTAATTGTCATTGCATTTGATCAATTAACTCTTACTAACTCTTTCATCTCTAAGGGGAACGTGTTTGGTATTAGGAAACAGGAATGAAGGCTTTATTTTTAAAGAGG